TTTTTAGTGATTCACAGCAACACAGCAGTTCAATAAAGCATGCACACACTAAACGTTTACAGTCTCATGGGTCCTGACGAATAAAACTCACCTATACCTATGGCAAGTGTAAGAAATGGCGATATCAGCACAAGTACATTCGTATGGAAACCGAGCAGAAGAATTAAACCAATTGCGCTTATTGAGGCGAGTAGTGGAGATATTAATGAGGCACTGCCCAATAGCAGTACGGATACGTTGAATTGCTGGAAACTCATTGAACCGAACGCGAAACTTAACAATACAAATACTGTTAGCAAACCGGCACCTAAAAATGTAAATATATTAGGAATAGATATCGAATAGCGATTCAATGGGGGTTGTTGAAAGCAAAGCATATAATGCATCCGAGAAACCAAAATTTGATTTTTTTGTAAAATACAGTTGTCATATATGCGCCTAACATCGTCATTGACCGTTATAATTGGTTGTAATCAATCAGCCAGATCTTTTCCTCAGATTTCTCTTTGGACCAACAGCACACAGATCAAAAAATTGCAACGTTGATCAATGAAACAGATAAAGTATTTGTGAATTTTAGATGTAAAATATGTTAAATTGTGATACGAATATCAACCGTAATTCAATGATATGGTACCGTCTTATCAATTATAATCGTTCAAATCGCATAAGCGAGCTAGTTTAGACAGTCTGAACAGCTCACCAGCAATATAGTAGGGCAGAGTCATGCCCACTCCTCGTTGAACCTCCTGTGTCACCGTATTGGCACCATGCAAAACAAACTTTATTGAGTTGTTCTTGTTCTGATTGTGGATTTTCACTTGGCTAAAAAATATAAATCCAATTGATGCATAACAAGTCGATGCAAAATTCTGGAGGAAATCGTCAATAGCAGCGTGAAGCAATCACATTTCTGAGTCCAATTTTCCATTTCTATCGAAATGATATCGACGTAATATTTGGTGGAATTTGGAGAAACTTACTACATTAGAGAACTTCCTGCTGAGTATAATGAATTCCTATGAAATCACAGAAATGGGACAGTTTTCACCGCAAATTTCACTGATCACTTACTCGAGTACGCCTTTCTCGAACAGTTCCAACTGTTTTTCCTTTCTGGTGTCACCAACAAACGTGGTGAAGTATATTGCCGCCGTTCCAACACCAGTGATAACACCTGAATTATTTTTGACATGACTCCCTATATTTTCAACATTCTCGATTATATTCAATCAAAATCGGCTGGAATCGCAACTTTAACATTCCAATGAAGAAATGAATAACTTCTTCCAATTAGTAACTGAGAAATTGAGCAATTTGCAGTCAAATCTGCTTGGATAATTCATTTGCAGTCAGATAAAATGAACAATTGAAAAACCTCGTTTATTGACTTTCCGATCGAAGAAAAGTTTTCCAATGTTCATTTTGTATGGACCGACCGTCGTGAGCGGATACGTCAATTTCATGAAGGATTGGTATTGCTGAAATGTTGAAAAATTACTTCAGCCCAAAATTCAATTGAGGTAGCGTGATCTGAGGTAATCTAATTGATCCTGCGCTAGTGGGAATTTTTCCAAATTGATCGCCATTTTTTGGCCGATCATTCCGAGTGTTCGACAGCCTCAAGGCTGACTTCGCCGGTGAAGCAGCCTGACGCTGAGAAATGACCATCATTGAATTTGGGCGATTCGAAAGTGTTATGTTGATATTATTAAGCAAAAGTTTTCGAATGAATTGCTTCCTCTTCTTTGCGCTCACTTTCCCCATTTGGTAA